AGCCGGGAGGAGCGCCCTCCGCCGGAGTGCGAGAGCCGCGCCCGCCCGCAACCGGCCGACGGCCCGGGCCTCGCGTGCCGCGGGGCACAGCTCTGCCAGGGTATCGGCCGCAGGGCAGAGGACGTGCCAGTTAACGTGGACCCGCTCAGCCTGTTAATGCGGCCTGATCGTTCTTAGAGGAAACGCAAAGTGGTTGACATTCTTAGGAAAGAGAACCTGTGGATTCCTTCGGAAAATTAGCTAATTGAATTTGTGGCAGATTTGCATTAAGACTTAGATGTTTTGAGACAGCCGTTTTCACATTTGATTAGAAATACTACTCTTCAAATTGAGAGACCACATTTTTTATGACCTGAAAAATAGCTCTCAGATCTTCTCATTCACATAAGTACTTGATTTTATATTACTACGTTTTTATTTTTAGGAACATAGTTTTATTGCCCTTATCATTTTGGGAAATTATTGTGGAAAGGACAAAACAAATTTCTTAGAGATTGAGACTGCATTTTCTTTGATGCGTATTACCAAGTACTTCAGTGCTTTGGTACCTAGCGTCACACTTGCAGTCCGACATTTCTTTATAAAGATGTAGAATTAAGTGATTTAACTGCTGGGAAATCTTCATGGGCTTATAGGATTTTGGAGGAGGCTTATTTCTTTAGAAAAGCGGGTTAGTCTGAGATCACATTTTTTTCAATTCACACGTCTACAGATGGGGAAGGCAGGCCAGTTGTGATGCTTCTGAATAATATTTATATATTGATGTGTTCCAAGGCATTATTCAGAATAATAATTATTAAAGGACCTTAAAATATGAGGAGTAAGTCAGGTTTCCATTTTTGGTATGAAAAAGACACATTTGAGGGAAACTAAGATAAAAGATTATGAATAAGTTTAAGTAAGTAGGATTTGTGATGATAGACAAAAGCATACCAATGTGTCATGTTTTATTCCTCCGTGGAAACAGAGAGAAGAGTTCTGTTTGAACGTTGGCTATTCAGGAGGACAGCATTATTTCGAAATAATGACTTGGAATATTAGATTTAGGAGACAAAAGAGAGAGAATATTGCCTATTTAGGTCTGTATAATTTTATATCATTGGTGCTTATTTGGAAACTAAAGTTTCTTTCATAAATGTGAGAATAGTGATTACGGTCATGGATAGTTAAACCAGTTCAGTGCATCTGACTTAATTCACAGAAATTTGCTTGTAAATTGAACCCACTGTTGATTTGCTTCTGAGACGCAGGCACTGTACCAGGCTTTGAGTGTAGCATAGGGATTCGTGTGTTCTCCATGGGGGCGGGGGGCGGGAGTAGTAATCACAGAGGTTAAAAATCACAATGGTGGTGTTCCACGATGAGTAAACCTGGGGATGACTCGAGGCTGTGGGCCCCTGTTTAGGTGGGTGACACAGAGAAAGTCTTCCGGCTGCAGCTAGGGCAAAAGCGCGAGGCTGGAATGCACCAATGAGTGCTGTACCTGATGAGACTGCACAGAAAACTCCTGAGGGTGGGGGCGGACCAGGCGGAGTCAGAAGCCGAGGCAAAATATGTTTGGCTTTAAAAGTACATTTATTTCAGAAATACACTCCTTAAATAATGCAGTAATTTTGGAGCTGAACTACAAGTTGTGAAAATTGAGAGAGGTTGAGAGGACTAATGCGAGTAAAGACAAAGTAGGTGAGAAGTCTGCGGAGTGTAATTAGAAACAGACGAACCGAAAGAGGGTTTTCAGACCCTGACACTTGTGTGTTGGACATTGCCATGTACAGTAGTTTGTAGTTGACATAGCTTTTCATCTGTTGGCAAGTCACACTTACGCAATTTGCTTTTGTGTGTGGAACATCGCCTTTGAAGTGAGACAAATGCCTGTCACTTGACAGTCATTTTTCATAGGAAAAAAAAATGTCTTTTCAGTTCAAAAAATGCTGTTAACTGTCTAGTCTGAGAATATACGTGGGAATCTCCAAATAGAAATGACTTGAGATAAATGTAAACATTTGAGCTGGTCTCTGGATATTTTCTGAGTAGGTGTTAAGACTGAAAATGTGTGGCAGGTCTGGATACTGAACGATATTAGATGCCAAATTTGGATTTTATCATCCTTCTTTTTTTGGTGCTGGGGCTCGAACTCAGGGCCTTGTACTTGCCAGGCAGGTGCTTGTGCCACTGAGCTATATCCCCGGCGTATCATCCTACTTTAACCTGTGCTCTGACGTCAAACTTCTTTGTTTTTGGCAATTTATGTTATAAAATGAAAAATGTTTTTATTGTAGTTATTTCTAAAGTATAATGCTACTTCTTTTTCTTTTTTTTCCTAATTTACTGCTGTAGGCATTGAGAATCCCCTGGAGATTATTGAGCAGAGGCAAGGCATCAGGAGAGCAGTGTTGCAAAAGAGATGACGTGTTCAGGGTAGGCTGGAAAGGAAAGCAGTGAACTGTTCAGAAAGCTTTTGCGGTAGTTCGGAGAGGTGAGCAGGGCCTGAGGTACTATTGGTTTATTTGGTAAATAGAGTGGAGGAGAGGAATACAGGAGACTAAGAAGCAGAATTTCCTTAACTGGTTGTGAATCTCCGTTTTTTGTAGTTAAGTTTCAAAGAAGCTTTGTGAAAGAATTGTTAGGACCTGGAGGCCAGGACTGTGAATACTGTGGGAGGGAAGTGTTCATTTAAGAAAGAGTTGGAGACCATCCACAGTTGTTAGTTACTGCAGAAATTAGTGGTTTTTTTTTTTTTTTTGGTTTTTCTCCGGTACCGGGAACCGAACTCACGACCTTGCGCTTGCCAGGCAGGCGCTTTGCCGCTGAGCTAAATCCCCAGCCCCTGCAGAAATTTGTGTAAGAGTATTTCTTACAAGTATAGAATGTGGCTTTATGTTTAAAGGTTAGTCTTTTATGAGGCTGTTATCCGATCATTTGACATAGGAGCACATACTAGAAATTTTACAAGATTTTGAGTGGTACACAATGTAAACCTTAAGTACCAGTTCTTTTGTTTTGGGACAGGGTCTTGCTATGTAGTTCGTGTGAACCTTTAACTTGCTATGTAGCCCAGGCTGGCATTGAATTCACAGCACTCCTGCAGCCTCAACCTCCGGAGAGCTGGGATTATAAGTGTGAACCAGCATGCCCAACTTTAAATACTAGTTCTTCAAGTCCAAGTAAACAATGATTTAACGGTCCCCAGAGTAGATTCCTCTAACGAAAAGGGTCTCATGGTTTGCCCATCCCCCTGCTTTTCACTTCTATCTGTAAAAGAATGGCAAGGAATAGAAGTGATGAACGTATAGATTCCAAATAATTTTTTTATTAAGCCATTTCTAGTTTTCTGATTTGTAAAAAAATTTGTAAAAATGTTGTGCTCATTTATGGACAGTATGAATTGTTTCAGATTGGTTCCTAGGAAACTCTAAAACTTACAGTCTTTATAGTAGTTTGCAAATGCCCTCTTTCTTAAAATGAGGTAATGAATACTGGTGAAACCTTGAATAAGTGGAATTATATTTAGAAAACGTATTTTAGTGCTATATTTGCTGTAAATTTACGATACAGTGTACTGTTACAAATGAGATAATAAAACATTTCTAAAAAGGGGCATATTATATATTATTAATCTGCTTTTCTACATATAGTTTATTATAATACCTAAAAACAATTGATTTGAAACGGTTTATTCAAGGCCTTCAACGTAAATGGTACATTTAAAGGTACTTTGCTAGCCCAGGATAAACAATAGCCTTCTTCCCTTCCTCCTTTTTCTTCCCTTCCTCCCTCTCCTGCCTCCCTCTTTTCTTCTTTTCTGTCTTTCCTGCTGGGAATTGAGCCCAGAGCCCCAGGGCTTCACAGGCATTAAGCATGCTCCCTAGCACTGAGGAAATGCCAAGCCCTGAGTCTTACTTCTTGATTCTTCCCTGCAACTTCTGACTAGACCTTTTAACCTCCAAAGGAACTGATAGCTTCACAATTTAAGCTGCGGGTTTTTATGTTTCTTGATGATTTCTTTCACTCTTTTATTGGTATACTTTAAATATACATAA